TGTCAGACAGGACATTTCAAGCTCAGCATTCTGGATTCCTGAATCCATGGTCAAGTGTAAACCAAAAGCATGACATTCAGATTCCTCAATGTTCCTGGACTGAAGTACCTGTGTACATGGACTACATTTTTAAAGCAAAATTACAAATATAATTTGTATCATTCTACAACTTTGCAACGACCATGTTCATAATGATTTAATTGATTATTAGAATGATAAATTTGGGGGGGCAGTGCGGAGGCTCTGTGGCTGGAAGGTTGCCGGTTCGTATCCCGCGGCCAGCAGAGGAATCCCACTCCGTTGAGCCCCTGAGTAAAGCCCTTAACCCCAACTGCTCCAGGGGCGCCGTATAAATGGCTGACCCTGCGCTCTGACCCCCAGCTTCTCTCTCCCTGTCTGTGTGTCTCATGGAGAGCAAGCTGGGGTATGCAAAAAAACAAATTCCTAATACAAGAAACTGTATACGGCCAATAAAGTGATCTTATCTTATCTTAAAAGAGCTGGTTAAATCAAGATGCAGCAATGGTGTAGACTGAAGGGAAAATGTATTGAGTCCCCTGGAATACAGAAGTGGTAAGCAGTGAGTTTTGCCCTATGGTGTGTCTCAATAGCCTTTAAATCGTAGAAATAAATGAAGATTAGCTATCTGTGTACTAAGACTCAGAGTGAATCTCACAACACAGCAAAGCCCATGTGATCTTGAGCTATGTGTTCAGCTTGATTTCTCCTTATTTGGTATTGTCCACATACTGTTTGGCACCAGACCAGAGGAAACACTGTGCAGGGTTATAAATGTGTGCATACCTGCTGAGGAAACACTGCGGTGCTTGTGTTGGCTCAATGACATTAGCAGCTTCCAGTAGTGTTTTGAATTACTTTTTAAGTGGCTGTGAATGTCCAGCATAACTGAAGGGATGACCTTCTGTGCTTATGGCATATACTGTACAGTAAGACTTCAATGAAGATGATCTGCAGCAGGGTGAATGGCTCCCCATTAATAAAATCAGCCTGGCTGGGTAGTGGATTGGCAGAAAACCTTTTCATACAGCCAAGTCTTTGGCATCATAATCTGAAAAGTGCTTTTTTATATGTTCTTTTATAATTAAACCATAAGGTGAAACAAAAGAGTTAAAAAGTGGCTTACATTTAAAAAGAATCCCATGTACTCTGGTAACATTAGAAGGATCTAAACAATGGCTTGTTTACAATCAGAACAATCTAGATATGGCATTCTATAAGCAAGCTCTGTTCAGATTTGCTCTGAGAAATGTACAGAACATTAGATTGCATAAGTACATGCTCACATTGGTTGAATTGTCCTGGCTATCAATAAAACCTGTGTGATGGTGGTGTGCAATGTTTTGACAGTATAATCTGTTTTGCATCACATCCTTCTGCCTTCAATTCACCTTTAATTATCATTATTAAAGGACTTCCCTGTTGCTCAAGTCTCCAGTAATTCATGTAATTCCATGTAACTCCAGTAATCTCCTCTGTCAGTGTTACTTCAGCTGAAGTTGATCTTGAGGGGCTCAACTGAAATGCAACCAACTGATTATTCATGAAGGACCGCTGAAACTGTATCATAGCAATTTAACAATTAACTCTAATCCCACCATTTCCTGATTAGAATTAATATCCTTTGCCATCTGTTTGCATTCTGGCATTTTGGAACATGCTTTATAATGCTAAGAAAATTAAATTTTTGAATGCCAAAACCTGGCACATATAGAAGTCAAATGTCTTCAGCTGTGCTTGCAAATAGTTACGCTTTTCATTTTTTCATTTCATTTTAAGCAGTATATACAGCAGTAATAACATCAGTAACAGCATTAAAATGAATTGTATGGGACGTGTAATTGGTATCAACTCTGTGACTACTTAATATCTGAGCAACAGAACCTGCATTATCTTAATAGTTACCAACCGGACCTCTGCTGAAAGAAAAAAAGTGTTTCATAAATCATTCCACCTGTGTCTGTTCATCAGAAATTGATTGAGATGTTTTGACAGAAATAAGGAATTGAACTTTTACTTTGAGGAGTGACAGCATATGCTGGGGTTCTTGGAAAAATATGGTTAAAGTTCTATACTTTTAAAACCAGTGACTGAATGCAGAGACAGCAAAACAAATGTTTAGACAAGCATGAAGAACACTTTAAGGTGTGAATTAGCATCAGAGACTGACTACACAGCCCATGTGGAACACAAAACAGCAGATATTGAGGTTCCCCTTAGGAATAAGGTCCCGGCTCTCAAAGGACAGTCTACTGGAATTTACCGAGTGAGGAAAGAGCTATGTTTCAGGTGAACTGCAGTTTCAGCACCCCAGAAGAAAGAACAGCTCCCATCTATCTCAATTGTCAGTGAAATACCCTTGAATCATCAGTGAAACTTGTGGAATGGTTGCTTTTGGTGGCAGAAGTCGCACCTTTGTGGGGGGGTTTTAAGTTGCACATTTTGTATTCTTTGAAATTGAAAGTGAGAGGCAGCTTTTGCACTAGACTAAAACCGATATATTTGAGCATGTACTCATTTCCCCAAGCACTTTAATATGCTCCAACAGACATGGACCTCAAATCTCCATTTAAATGTCTAGCTAAAGAAGAACATTTGCTTTAAAAGCTTTTTCTGATTAGCTGTATCAATAGGGGGCTTTTGTTGTGGTCTTCAAAACCTGCCAGCACTGACAATTATAAATCAAATTGCATTGTAGTGGTGTCCAAAATAAATGTGTGCTTAACAGTATTGTAAGCTAATGATTACAGCTCTTTCAATGCTTTTTATAAAGGCAGCCTATAGTTACACTCATTCAGCAAGTCTCCTTCTTACAGAAAAAAGCCAAATAAAATACACATCTTAAGAAGTCTGTTCTGTCAGTACACAAACACACAACATGTTCTCAAAGTTATCAATGTGCAAAGGTATGAGAAGAAAATATTAATCCTTTAAATATACAATATATAATATACCAATGCATAACCACAGGACAGAAAACTATTACATAGATAGCAATTTTTCAGAAATGTAACCATGAATGGTCCTTAAACACTGACGATACACTGACAATATACTAAAACTCACCAGCATGGCTGTAAACTGAATGGAATAGAAAGTCAAATGCAAACCCACCTGCTCTGCAAACAGTTGCAAAGGTGCACGAAATTAAGTAAGAGAAGGACCAAAAAACACAATATAATTGCACTTGCAAACCTGCTACACACCAGCTTTTGAAATCTCAATCAAAGAAAGGATAGCTGGTAACATATGTATTATACACACCACAAATACATATGCAAAAGTCTTAGACATTCAGGATTTACCATACAGTACTGTATATGAGCATGAGTGATTCACTCAAAGCTTCCACTAGTGTTTTCTTCTACTATAACAACTCTGTGTTGCCATTTAGAGTAGCAATCTTATATTCACATTGATCAGAATCTTCACACATCTGATAACTCAAGGTAAACTATAAACTATATGAGCAGTCGATATGAAGCCTTGTAGTTACTAATCAATCACATTTACTAATCAAATAGAATTTACTCCTGCCAGGTGTCCCTCACTGTTAACAGCTTTGATCCTCACTACACACCCACCCAGTTCAAAGGCCGCTTTGTTTTGTAGTGTAAAGTACAGATCTTCCAGAATAAACCAGAATACTGTTGGACATAATGGGTGAGCATTTCAACAGACCATCATCATCATCATCACTGAATCGCACTTCTGCATAAAAAAGCATAAACACTGAGTGAAAGGAACAAAACAAGATGCAAGACGATGAAGATGTTTACACAGTGGTGGGTAAAGAGGTAGATGTATTAGATGGTGACATTTTATCAAATGGAGTCATTAAATAGAGTCATTAACTAAGGTTTAAGAGGGAGACAAATGCCGATTGTCCTACCAATCACCTGTTATCACATCGCGATAAACACAAGAGCAGTTTTCCTCTCCTGCAATCGCTGCTCAGCCGGCTTCATCACGCCCGGCCCACTGCCTCGGTGTGAAGCCCTGTGGCTCACCTTAATCTGGGCCAGAGTCTTCATCGTCAGTGCCAGATCACCCCTACAGCCAGAGGTTAAAGACACGCTACAGACATGCTAAATGCACTTACTATTGCAGGATTAAACGCTTCACTTATGTGTGTATACTGTAGATGGATGGATGTTTGCCTGTTATGCCTTCCGGCATTTAGGGCAGCAACATCCTGTTACTGTTTCAATATACTGTTTTAACAGGACAGGGCGGTTAGCCTTGTGCCCAGCCTCCAACATGGAGGACCCGGCGCCCGACGTGGGACACAAACCCACCACCCCGAGATCATGAGTCTCGTGCTCGACCGGCAGAGCCAGCCGGGGCCTGCAGTACGTGTGTAGAGAGAACATTATTTATGGTCTATTTGTAGATACATACAGTGGGTGTTGAAAAGGTCCACAAGGCGAGATAAACAGAAGCAGGGCGGACAAGCCAAGAGAGTCAGGGGAGAAACAAACGAAGGCTGGATCCCGTATTCTGCTCAAAACATTCCACACAGAAACACGAGCAGTGGGGAAAGCAGAATTAAAACCCGACTGGGAAGGGAAAGGGGGAGAGCCCGTAGTCGCTGTTGTCACGCCCTCTGCAGCCAGAGGGCGCTCCTTCTCTGTCCTGTCCCTAGTTTCCGGTCTGCTGTCCTTCCTGTCCCTCTCTTTCCCTTGGGCTATATATTTCCGGGTCTTGCACTCTGTCCTCGCTCAGCATTGACGTTTGGATGTCCTGAGACCCGCCTAGCACCAGGGCGCCCCACGTCCGCTCCCTGAGGGCATAGGTTTCTATACGGCATTCCTGAACTCTTTGCACTATGAGCCCGGGCCTTTTCCCCGTCTCGCCGCTACGCATATGGGTCTTTTTCTGCTCTCCTGCTCCCCACGGTTTGTCCCTTTGGACGTCCGTGACAGCTGTCCCCCTCTCCCACCCGTGGGTTTCCTGTCTGAGGGGCGGCGCTCTGCCCTCACCTTCCGTCAGGCCGAGGTGAATGCTCCAGTAGTTCTGCAGACACTGCAACTCCTTCTTCATCCCCCGCTTGCAGCGGCAGTCGTACAGCGGGCTCTCCTGGAGCACCTCCAGGGCGGCCTGGCACTCCTTGTTGGCCAGCATGGTGTTCCTGTCCCGGCCCGCCAGGCACTGGCGCAGGATCCGGTAGCGGGAGCTGCACTGGTGGTTGACATTGCAGAGGTCGCTGGCCTTCACGCAGTCCACCGGCGCCCTCCAGCCGTGAGCCCCACTCCCAGACACGGCGGCAGAGCTGCCCACGCAGCGCACAGCTTCATCTGCGGACAGAGAAAGAAGGGTGACCGCCGGGGGGCCGTCACGGGTCTCGGGCCCCGCCTGACAGGTGTTGACCGCAGTTTCTGATGAAACACTCCTGGATCCATCCCCCACTCGTTCTGACTTGGCGTTTCTGGTATTACAGTAAAGGCTGCAGAGACTGACGTCTATATTATGGGACTTGACTCGAGTGGTTGGTCTTTGTCTACAGACAGACGGACAGGATTATAGGGGCAGTGGAAGGATTCTGTCAGAAGGGCAGCCTTCTGTGTACTGTGTTGTGCCAGTTTTGTTTTTTGGGGGATTACCGCCCTAACAGTGGAGGCACTTTGCACAATGAGAAATAACTGGTGTGCAGGTCATACGCTATTTGGATGAATTAACCTACCCATTGGCCTAGGCTTTCAAACAAATAAGTGGAAGCTTCACGTGTGTTTTCAGTCGTGTGTTCATCTGACAATTCTAAAAGAAGAATGTAAATTATATTTTAACGCGATGAATTTTAGGGATATTTATTGGATTTGATCGACACTGGCAGAATCGCGCTGTTTAAAAGCGTAACATGATTAGAAACACTAAGCAGGAAACAAAGTCGAGGAGAGTTCCGGAGTTTATACCACGCACACTGGGGAAGCTTGCGCGGTGTTGCCCAGCGAGCGCCTCAGCGCGCGTTAGTGGAGCCCCCAAACCGGCGAGGTTGACAAAACGGAGTCGCGGCACCATCATCAAGTGCAGAGGGCGTTAACACTCTGATTGATGCGACAATGATTCATTTTCAAAAGCCTGTTAATGATCAGAAAAAATGCGCAATCATCTGGGGAAAAAAAAACCCCACTTCTGTCCTATTCTACTTTGCGTCCTACCACCATTGATTTAGAGACGTACGCTACAATTAACAGACCGCTCGCGAACAGGAACAATCTGAACAAACTCAAAGGAAAGCATGATTAACCTAGCACTGATACTGATAATTATAATTATCACCTTTTATTGCTGAACTCGATTCAAGGAAACTCAACACTTTCTCCAGCGGGCATAGCAGAAAAATGTAAAAGTGCAACAGATCCAGAAGCTACGATAAGCTAAACCACTCATTAAAAGCTTAGTAAAAAAAAAAGTCTTCACGCCGTTTTACAAAATATCTACCGTATTGTACTGTACATTCGCAGTGTCTCTACTTAACACACGTAGTCATAGGTTTAACACGCTGTGCTGCGTCTAAGAAGGCTCTATCGCCCCTTGTATGGAGCATTGTGTGGATTCAGCAGATCGAAGGCTAAAAGCTGTACTATACTGTGGTTTTGCAGTAAATCCTTGAGGTAAGTCCTCGGCGCTACACCACTGAGAGCTTTACCCTGTACGCGAGCAAGAAGACCTTAAAGTCTACGACACATTTCACAGGGGGACAGTGTAATTTAAAGAGAACCTGTGTTAACCTGTGTTCTGGTTCTGCGACGTAGCACATAAACTACAGTTCTGGCCATACTGAAGCCAACTAATTACCTTAGAAGATACTATACCCCGGTAAGGTATTACAGTCGTCTAACGACTTATGTGAGGTCTAAGGTTTCAACAGCGGGCTATTAAGAGGTATGGACATGAGCATCGTCTTACAAGGCGTGCAGCGTACAGTGTAGCCTTAAGAGTTATGATTCCTGTGCATTCCAAAGCGGAACGGACAGCTCACGTCATGATTAAATGCAGTTTTGATAAAACTCTAATAGAGAAACAGTAAACAGCATATCACATATTTGTTTGTGTACGTGTGTGTGTGTGGGGGGGGGGTCATCGGTTCAAATTAGTCAATGCAACTTGCGCATGAAGAACGAAATCTCTTGAAATATTTGCTGGGTCTTCTCCGCTAAAGCTAACATTTAGTCGCGCTGCTGAAGTATTCAAGACCAAAATAAAAGCTCCAACAGTTGGACACGAGTGACACCTACAGGCTGCAGCGCAGGCGCCACTAGATGGTACAGATTGTAATCTCTGAATGAAACACTAAATGTGAGTTAAGCACCATTTAATTTCGCAACCATAAACGCAGGATTATTCATATTAACCGAGCAGTGCCGTTCATATTTCCCCCAGAACCGATGCTAAGCACAAAATGTGTATTTACTTTCACTAAAAGAAGTAGAATTTTACATATCATTGAAATGACTGCACTACCTTTGAGTCGCGTGTTGTTTACGGGTTATGGGAACCCAAGCTAACAGGATTGTCCTGACGGTTCTTAGGCTGAGATACAGTTGCTAGTCCTCAAAGTAAACTAATTGTGTCGCTGACTAAAACAGACGACGAAAAAGTACAATATTGAAACTGGTTTACAATTGTTTGACAAAGTAACAACAACCAGGATATATATGTCATAACAAAAGCCAGATTTAAATGCAGAGCAATACAATGTTTCTACTCAATCAAAACAAATCTATTCCTGTATTATAACTATTATAAACGCACTTTCAAGAATTCCCTTGCACACATACTGTACACGTACACAGCGCACACTAAAGGGACGAATCCGTGATCTCGGCTTGCAAAAATGCTCCGTTTTGTATCATTTTGCCATAACGATGGGAAATCGGGTGTTATGAAAGCTGTCGTCCCGAATTAGCTGGATAGAGAAGAGGTGTCTAAGATTTATTCCTTCGAAAGTGACATGTTTCATACTATGATAAACGTTCAGCAAATTAACCCTTGTAACTAAATGACTTTCTGGATCACCAGCACGGTTCCAGTCGCCACGGTCGCGACTTCTCTGTGAAGAACGATACCGGCCGCTCGGCTCTCTTTTCTCCGGCAGTGTGGTTTTTTCCGTTCGCCGGGAAGCGAAGGTGAAGCTACAACTTCTGTTCGCGCTTCACAACAGGTTAGTTTCAATGAGAGACCAAGGAAGGCTGACACAAGCCAGATTCCTTCTTTGTGATGATTTATTAAAAACTACTGCCAGTCCGGCACTTGTTTGGATTTTGTTTTCAGCCTAATTTTATTCACGGAAAGGCTTTTATAACATTATTCTTTCGGAAAGCGGGAAAACGCTAGCGCATCGAAGAGCTTTTCAATTGACACAAAGTGTGCCAGACACACAAACCTCATTCGTATCGGCTCCTTCACAACCACACGTTAATATTTTTTTTACGCGATTGCTCAATTTCCTCCTTCCCGTTGGCATACGCTGCTAGTAAAGGTATTCTTCACCGTGTCTCCCATTAATAAAGATATTCAGAACCCAAAATGATTTTAGTGGCTCATTTTGGCAAAAAGCTGCGCGTCAAAATTAAAAAGAAAACAGAAATCTTCGCCATAAAAATAACCTGACCGCAAATGTACATAAATAAATATACAAGCTGAAAATAAATTAAAAAAAAAACTAGAAAAGACTGACCACATGCAGTTTTATTTGACTTTTTTGGACTACGATCTATGTGTAACTGCCCTGTTTTTTGGTTAGCTCACGTTTTTTTTTTTAAATTGAAATTAAGCGTTCGAACGAAGACAGCTACACTCACCTAATAAAAACAGGACGCTGAAAATATTCCTACAAATCATGATAAATCCAACAGGAATTCGAGCCAGGGAGCTGTAAACCAACGGAGCCCCTCTCGAGTTCTTCGCTCCTGACAGATTTATGAAAATTCTCCCCCTCGACTTGTTAGCACTCCAGTGCGATTCCAGCGGCGAGGAAATCTAAATATCCGAGCATGTCCCCGACATTGGTCTATAGGTGTGCTGGACACAACCCGCAGCCTCGGAATAATCCACAATTCTGGAAAACTTGGAAAAAAATAAGAATAAGTTTGGAAGAATAAGGAAAAGGCAATCCAAGGTTTCCTGCGAGCTGCGCTTATTCACTACAGCGTAAAATAAGCAACATCCTTCGAAAGCCGGGCATTAGTTTTCCAAATCACGGCACAAAAACGGTATGATTTGTCAAATGAAGTAGTTATACAGGAGGTCCTCTTCCGTGTATCGCTTCTTCATCCAACTGTCTTCTTTAAATGAAAATCCAATCAGACGGATCCTGTTAGCCACCAACTTTGTACGCCGGGAGAAATCTACAGAAAAGAAGGCGTGTGGCGTATAAAGGGGGAAATGGTAACTTGTTTTTTCCCTTTTCTTCTTATAGATCTCCGTCGTTAGAATTAAAGGATCGAACTGCCCCCTTAACGCATGTGAGTTAATCAAGTCGTTAATAGCTTTCAAGGGGCTATCTGGACGCGCCCCTGGTTTCGGAGAAACTACACAGCAAACAGCATTCCACAGCGAAAGCGAGGAGACTGGGGAGAGAACTCGCAACCATCAGTTTCCATAAACCAATGTGTAATCCTCGCACGCATCTTCGGAAGGGAAAACAAGATCATCGCACAGAAAAGAGAGGGTATTCTGCTGTCATGTTGCTTTTTCTCAAGCAGACTTTATTGTAAAACCAACACAACAGAAGCCAAAACTGCAATCTGTTTAAAAGTGGGTAGCAAAACGGGGTGAGAAAAATGTTGGGTTTGTTTAAAGTCCGGATTCTGCGGCGTCAGTGTTCGACCTCTCTCTCTTTTTTTTTTAGCAACCTGGATCTTTTTTTTCCCCCTGTCTCTTTGCTTAAATGTGCTGCTTCAGCCCCCTCGGCTGGTCTGAACGTCAGACCCAACGCAGCGAGAGGCGCGCTTGCTTGCACCTCGCCAGCCAGTGACGAGTCCCCAAGTTCCCAAGCTGGGCGCCGCACGCAGAGACAGACGCGAGAGAGGCGCTTTCAGCTCGGAGCGCCGTAGCCCGCTCCCGTCCGGGCTCTCGAGCAGAAACTGGTCAAAACACCCCCCAATGCCAAAAACCCAATGCTGTCTCCCAACTAACAATCTTCAGCGTCTACACAGAGGAGGGACAGTGGGTAGAAGCTACAAAGTAGAGTGCAATCCCGAAATTTGTCAAGTCTGTGGCACACAGCGTGCGAGGTTTCTGTTTGTGTCAAGACAACCGGAGACTGTGAATTATACCTTTTAACAATTTCTAGTCCTCTTTTCGTCGGCTCTTGCTGTACTATAGGCACCTTTTCAATCTCTTTCGACTAACAGTGATAACGCAGTTACCTCACCTGTGTCTTGTCCCGCCCAGTTAATTTAAGAGGTTACATTTATCGATCAAACCAGGAGCATGTCTGCGTTTACCTGGGCACTTGAACAACGAAAGATTTGTACTGTGCTGCATATAATAAAGTCCATGTTTCCTGCATACACCATTTGAGGTTCTGTTGTGTGTTTAGCCCGTATTTTAAAAGGGATTCCCAGCAGAGGTTGGCGAAAGAGATAAATCACCAGTCCGAATGATATTTTCAGAGCAAGTGAACTGCGGAGGCACACAGACTGAGCGAGTGCCTGGTGTGCTTGCAAGGGATAAACGGGCTGGGCACGTCACATAGTGTAGGACTGCTGGAGGTATCGGCTAGCGTCTCCGTCTGGCGTTGTGTCATTGCTAGAAACACAGACGGAAGCAAAAGCAATCCTTTTCACGAGACGAGGAAGAATCTCCCCACCCGCTTCCCGACAGAATCAGAAATGAGAAATAAGGAAAGGTCGACAATGATGGAGCGCCTTTTCAAACGTTTCAAAAGCATTCACCACTTGAAATATACCACAAACAACCGCAACGTTGTATGACTGGATTCAGCATCTACCACATCTAGAAATGATGACACACGATACACAACTTTCACCTTAAGTTGACAAAAAAAAATCAAAACGCAGTTGCGTCCTGTGATTGCGTAACATGGGTGAGTAGGCCTGCACGGGCCTTTTTAAATACAATGTTGCAGCAGGGGTTTCTCTACAAAGCCCTCATGCGGTTCAGTTCAAGTTCAGTACTGTACGTTATTGCCATAACAACTAGTTACAGAAATAACCCACAAATATCACATAAACCATGAGCCTCCATGCATTCACCCTGACTGTGTCTGTGAAGGCTCTTGGAGCACTGCTGAGGTCTTGGAGCAGTTAAACTGAAGCATCAGAAATAATATAAGCACTGGTTCCGTTCTGACTCGTTGGCACACGTCGTTTATCCAGGTCACCGCCTGTTGCACGCCACTTGACAAGATGCAAACAGACTTGATACAGATGAAACGAATTGATGTCTACAGGTAGGTCTTAAATCGTTAATGGACGCGCGTCTCTGGGTGATACATCATTTACAAACGAACAGAACTACTTTGTTCCCCTTTCTTTCTATATACAATTTATATATTACAAAGGAAGTTTGAAAAAGGAATCGTTGTCGTGACAAATGCTCAAGGATACGCAAATTAGAGCTCGTCTCACATGATGCAGTAGTTCCTCAGAAACCAGAACCATGTGTTTTACATTACTGAAAAGCCCTGCTTTACACCACTGCCGAAAATACATCAGCCTCACATTAATCTTTGAAACAGAATATTGGTCAGATACTCCCAGGAATGACGAAAGAAGCCAGCGATTACAGCGTTATTAGGACATATTGTATTAGGGTTTTCATGCATTAGAAAAAAAAATCCGTTATTAGCAGTGAGCAGACAGTCTCCTTTGCCTTGTAGTCAAGACTAATGTCATCCCATGGTATCGTTTTGATTTGATTTGAGTTATGGAAGGGCACTGCACAGCAGCGTAAAAGCATTAACCTTAGTCTAACGAAAGTCAACCTGTAAGGCTTTTGAAATGCGCCCATTTTCCAGATCACTTTCGTTCGTCTGACACAGCTCCGCTGACAGATTTGCACGGTGTCCTTGGTGACACTTAATTTCTATTACCCCCGGTGCTCTTGTGCTTATTTAACCCTCTCCGGCGCAATGATGTACAGTACCAGCAGCCTTTACTTTACATGTGCCAGACCAGATCGACTCCGGAACAGCCCTGCGGGGGAATGTGCACGTTGGTACGTTTCTAACAGATCGCTTTTTTTTCCTCGGTACATTCTGGAGTACGCTTTCGGGAGCACTACAAGAACAGCTCGTCTCGCAAAGCGACACAGAAACGCGTGTAACGCGTGTTGCATCCGTGACTTCAAAAGACTCCATCAGAAACTCTAGTCATTGTAGACAACTCCATGCTACGTTTCATTGCAGGTTCAATCATGTCGGTTTGCGAATTAATGATCAGAACTCACGCTGCTTTAAATTCACTAACGCGCCATCATGGTGAAATGGTGATTTTTTTAAGAGAATGTCTCGGATGATCTCAAGCCTGTAAATTTATGTTTATTTCAAGACGTCTCTTAAGTATCAAATTCATAAACACATTGGATGTTGTACTAAAGGTTAATTAAGTATATTACACCCGGAAGGTAAGCGAAAATAATGAGTGGTATGGAGACAGGTCTGAATTGATTCCCAGCTGGAAGTAATACATTTATAAGTCTATATTGACATTTAGCTTGGTGCAGCTGGTCGTTTTTGTTACAGTACGTGGACGCTTTGTCATTTCTGCACTTGAAAAGCAGCGACGGTTTAGTCGCTACATGATTAACTCTGCGGGAGATTGGGGGTTGTTTCAACGTTTATGTGTTTACCTAATCCAGTCACAGTGACGAAAACCTGAACAAACTAAATGGAGACTTCCGGTTTACAACAACAGCGGTTGCCTTGCAGAGCAGGGTTCGAATCTCTTTGGGAAAACGACCATTAAACTTCAAGACAAAAGCCCCTAACCAATCGGACATCAACTCCGTCGGACAAAAGGACAAGCAAGCACAGACCCAAACGTTCAAAAACGTCTCTTTTCTTTAGCTCTACTCAAGACTCCGCTTGCTGGGTTCGGCTTTTTTCTGCTCCCAGTTTCAAAACTATTCACAGTAGTTCTTCTCAGTCCTGGTCGTAGGCGACCCCTGTGTCTTCCTGATTGATTGTCCGCATCAGTTCTTAACCACGGTTCAGTTTATTTCAGCTTTGAATTTGAGACCCCTATTAAAATGCTTTTAGCTTGTAATCGATTTGTAATCGGTAACAGTAATACTCTCATCTTAATTAGCAAATTTCAGGACGGCCCCGATTCAGATGAGCTACAGTAGCAGAAATATAACCTGCTGGTTTTCGGCAGAAGAAAAACGCTGAGTCACTGAAGTTGGGAGGTTATTAATCAATTGATCACCTATTTTGTTGAGTTGTTGAGTCAGAAATAAGATGAGAGACTGCATACATTTCGTGCTGAAGATGTTGGAAATTAAAAACAGGTCAGTCACAGGCACCAATCAGCACAGGTGATTAAGAGCTCCTTTAGAACAAAAAAAAAAAAAACAAGACACAGGCTCTTCAGGACCAGGACTGAGAACGAACGACCGCTCTAGATCTTTTTTTCACACCTTTCACTTCGGATTAGAAGTGACATGATCAAGTAATTACACATCGCATCTCACCTCTGTTGCGTTTTATGAACGATTTAGCACAATCCAGCAAAACTAGGTCAGCTTGTGAGTGCGGATGTTCTAGAAGTCTGATATTATTTTTGATATTTGTATTTTTTTCTTTTGGCGAAAAGTCCATTAGTGGATGTCAGACAAAATTTTGATTGGGATTGTTCATCCCAAGAATAGTTAAAAAGACAGATCGTAACTGAAATGTCGGAGCATTGTAGGAAAATGACCTACAGTATGATGTTTAACGATTGAAGTGCCCCGGGTGTCTCAGGTGAAAGCAAAATCACTCCTCTTCACAAGAGATGTGTTGCATGTGTGAGGGATGAACTTTAAACAAACTGCTACAATTTGAGTGCAAGAACTATGCAAATTTATACACAAAAGAGAAATGACACTACTTGGAAATCAGAGCGATGCTGAAGGCTCTGCTCTCATTTGAGTTTATTATCAGGGATCTTCAGGTCAAGAGGGGAGTGGAGGCCAAGGGGAAAACTGACTCATTTCAATGTGCAGTGCCTGCACTACACGGAGCTATTAGGAGTGAGTGTTATTCTCTCAGTACGTCTTCAGATACTTCCTAGAACTGGTTTAACTGGCTAGAGCATGGCCTGGTTTCGTGGTGACAGTGGGGAAACATCATCAAGATATTTTTTGCTACACAGCTGAACCAAGAATGAATGTGTGTGCACACAATATAAGGAACTGAGTCAAGCCTCTTGGGCAACACCACAAAGGTGTTATGTTAATTCTATGTCCATAATGACTTA